CATGGCATTTGCAGAGAATCTATGGCAAACGGTACAAATGGGACATGCAGCAACAGTAGTGTAGCCAGCATGACTGGCAGTGCTAGAAGTAGTTCCAGTGGCCAGAGTAGTCATGGTGGAGGAGATGCTGCCAAGATGGAGGGGCTGGATTTTTCGGTCGTCGATCCAGGCTCACAGACGCTTTCTCAGATATATCAACAACGTGAAACGGCAACTCTATCTAGGGGGTCCCTACAACCTACTGGAGATGTGCGCCGAGGTCAGACAATGAATGAAACTTTAGCTAGGCCTTCGAGAAATGGCCCTCAGCCAACAATGACGGTCGATTCAAGCAGTAGCAACAACAACCTCAATAATATCACCGAAGGCTATGCCGTCTGAAGGAGAAAGAAATATATAAATCTCAGTGACAGCCTAAACTACCGCGCTTTTTCCTTCCTATTCCCTCTTCTCTTATTTTACCCCCTCTTGTTCATCCTTGTTTTGCCCCACCTATCCATACTCCTAATCTTCTTTGTTCTCCAAGTTCTCTTCTCTAGTCTTTTTTCTAATCTCCTTCATCTTTTCATCATACTCCCATTCGCCTCCACTCTTATAAATCTTTTATTTTTATCTATTTATTTATTCATGATTTTACATTTATTTTATAAACCCTTATCTAGATTCATTTTGCCTTCTCACTTTCCCCAATGTGCTTCATTCTACATCCCTTACTTTGGTTTATTGTCAGACTACCATATCCTATTTACATTTTTGTTTTTATTCTCCTATCTTTTATTTCTATTTCTCAAGTTTTTCTTCATATTCTCATTTTTTATTTTTTCTGCTTTTCTCCACAAAGAATATACTTCTGCTTTACCTAAATATGTGTTTCTTTTGCCTCCCTCTTTTTTATGCATGTTGTCTTATCTTTTTATTCCTCTATAGTTTACATAAATTAGTTTATATTGCATTTATTTTTGCTTTGTTTGCTTTTTTCTATCTCTTATAATTTTTATATTACCTTTTTACTTTCTTCCTTTCAACTTTTCGTTTATTTCTCGGTTTTCCTTTCCTTTATTTCTCTCTATCACTCTTGTCGCTAGTGCTATTACCTTTGAAATGAAACTCGTTTATGTTGTATATTTCTTCCCTTTATCATTCAAGTTTGCTGCTAGTGGTGTTCATTTTCTGAACATATTTTTATATTTACTTAAATGCTTTATGGCATTGAGTAATCAATCCTGTAATTCCATGTCCTTTAGACTGTCCAACCGGTTAGCCAATAAAGCAAGCCCTTTGGGTGCGCCGTTATGTTCAGTATCTAGGCTGGAGAAATTTGCCGCTTCTGAGAATTTTTAAATCCATCCCAAGGTTTTAGACTCAGAACTTAAGACCAGATACAAACCAAATCCTGGAATGTATTAAAATGAAATGTTCTCTGTCAAGTTATCCAAATCATTTTTTTCTGATTAGAGATCAGTTTGTTTAGAAAATCTCTTTATGCATATCGCTATATAAAGTCCTATCGGCTCCAATATAGATTCCAGTTTCGCATCCTAATTACTCTTATGAAAGAGCATTCTATTTTTTCTTACTGTAGATATGTCTGTCCAACCCTGCTTCTCATATAGCTGATTTGTTCCGCTTAATAGTGTATTATTAAAAATTAAACAAAACACAATCTTTATATAGCTTGTTATAAGCAATTTATTACCCAAGTATGGCCAGTTGTTACAAGCTAATTTGCATCAATAATTATTATTGTTTTCCTATTAATGTTTACTTCCCAATGCTGATATGCTTGTACTTGCTCCTAGCTAATTCTTTTTATTTAATGTCTATTTTCCTCTTTTAACGTTTTATATTGAAGATAAACCTATATTTTTTAATGTATCTATGTAAATATGTATTTACTAGCTGGCTATTTCATCCATAATAAGTTATATTATACTCAAATTGCCCAAAATACGTCTGCACGCAAATCCTTGTCACTATGCCAAAATTAAACTATGCTTTTTCAGAGAAATTCCCCAAATAATTTACCGAATGCAATGAAAGTTCCAAAAATACGAACTTCTTGAGGAGAAAAATGACTTTCCTGCTGCTCTCGTCCCTTACACCATTTTAGCTTTCATTCTCTTTGTCCTCTCAAGGCGGATAAATTTTGGGCAAATTTTAAAATTCATATCATAAACAATTCGCGTTTTTTCACATTTTAATTCCAGCCTTTCCTCACACTAGCCAGCATTAAGTGCGATTTTAAGCAATCCTTTACCTCAACTCATTGTATTTGGATGAACTAATTCACTTTTGTCGTATTTTCTTCCTCAAGCATAGTCTCAGTAAGAGACCGTTATACGTTTTATCTATCCTATACCAGATCGCTTCATCCTTTATTGCTACCATACTTTTGTAACCATCTGGTCTAGCCTACCTTTCTGACATCTTTTTTGATAAGAAAGGTTCATAACTATATGGTTTTCAGCTAAATGTATATAAACTTTCACATTTTTGTGCTCATTTCCCCCACCCATTTCATTCTTACTTTAACATGTGAGTTTCTATATCAAGAAATAGCATTATTTATCTGATATAACTGAAGCAAGCAAGTCTCTATAAGTTCTAGATACAGTGTATTAACTAAAGAGTTTTAAGATCGGCTTTGTTGGAAGGCATTGTAATCTTTCGAATCAAACAATAAAAATTACCTTCTACTTAGTCTGACCAAGAAAAGTATACTGCCATATTTCTTTTTACTTGTTCAAACTTCCTTCTGAATCAGCTATTCAGTCAAGATATTATACGATTTTTTGAGAGGCAGGCAATTTCATACAAATTCTTGAAGGTCTAACGTCCATAAGACCTGCATTTAATGCTCTTACATAAGCAGACTGCTTGCTTCCGATCTTCCTTTTTCTCCTATCTAATTTATTCCAATTGAAAATTCTATTACATTACCTTAACTTTTCTTAGTTGTTTTATTTTTTCCTCTCAAACGAAGCCAACTTTTAAAATAGAAGGCTTTCTACAATTCTCAATAAACTTGGCATTCAATACCCCCTTTGGTTAGACTAGTTTAGAAATATCAACCTAAATTCAACTCCATCACAATTAATAATATTCAAAGAATTTATCAATTAAATAAGGGTTTTTGCCAAGATTGGGAACAATTTGACGTTGGCTCAAGATAAACTTGATAAAGATTTTAAAATTAAGTCAGATGATATTTATTCACTTGTTTATGGAGGATCTTAATTTGCAATATACTTGCTACGGATAAAAAGAGGTACTGAATGCATTACAGTCCAAGAGAAAACATGATAAAAATCTAAAACACTCAAAGGGCTGCTTTTTACACACTTGAGTGGTAAGCAAACATTTAGCCCATGGCTCCATAAAGCATTTGTGACTTGATAAAATTTTGTCAGAAATATCTAGCATTATGAGGGATCACGATCCCAGACATATTGAAGGAAGCTTCGCACAAAATATGGCACAAAGTTGTTTAAAGAATAGACCAAAATTTAGAGATAATTAAATAAACACCCATATCTGATGGTTAAAGCATTATATGATGGTACCGATACCCTTAGAATAAGTAGAAGGCTATCTCAAAGTTTGCGAAACAATCGAAATGTCAAAAGGATAGCAAAATTAGCTTTTAAATACGAAGTGATCATAAATGAGCTCTAATGGTGGCCAAATTTGGGAATTGGAGTAATTATTACCACCTGCGGTAACAGATGAAGTTTCTCACATTCCAGGATAAAAAGTGAAGTGTTTCTATTAAAAAATACACGCTAATGTCTCGGAGAATATCTTATGCATTTTGGGACGAAACTTTCTGGGCTCTGAATATGCTGAAATACTTACTTAGTATC